GTAACCTTTACCCCAAAGGCTTCCTTTTATTTGGCTGAGATGACTGTGATTGTCCCCAGGACATTTCTGCTGTCCATACTTCACTCGGACGCTGACTGGCAATTACATACACGGCAACAATATCAGAAGCTTTTTTCTAGTGGGTATTATGAACTGAATGTTTGATGTGAAACAAATTAATTAGCAACGTCTCGAGTTGTGGCAGGATATGGAGACTGTTTGTAGAGAGAAGAACTTACCAGTGCTGTGCTTTTTTTAAGGAAACTTAAGGTTTACAGGTACAGAATTGTTTTAGCATGTAGCAAGTTTATTAAGTATTCTTTCAAATTTTTAAAATAAATTTGATAAAATTTGCAGACATTTGCTTTTAGCTAAACAGGTCTCCATTCCACAAAGTGATCTTAGCCCTTAGGTGATTGTATAGACTAACAATCATCCTCGCTAACATTGCTTTGTGGGTTGGGTTCAGAACTTCAGGACAAGGTCCAATTCACAACTGTGAAAGGGATGATGCTGAAACTTTAGGAGGATGTCCAACACCATAACGGCACCCAATATTTGTTCATGGCATTAAAATATAAAGATAAGCTTCTTTTTTTTAAATTAATAAATAAAATTGTGAATGTTTTCAAGAATCTTCTTCTCAGACACAAGGTCTAGGAATCTGAAACTTTGATACGAGGCGTAGCAAAACAATTGTTTTCAGACATGTTTATACCACTCAAATAGAAAAATACCATCTTTTAAAAAAATAGAAAATTGGTAAAATTTTAAACTTTGAATATCTTTAAGAAGCAAAAGGCCCTTAAGGATGAAGTATAGAGTCATAATGAGACCTGAACTTGTTCATAGGATGGAATTCACAAATCTTGAATTCCTAAATTAAAGAAAATATTCTTTACTATGTTGAAAATGTTTAAGCCCCATTTCCTCAGAAAGAAAAAGGCTCAGAGAGATGAAATGTTCATCGGATTATGTGTATTAACAGTAGGGTTCACATTTAATCATAGTAATTTGATTAAGGAGAAAGTTTTTTTGTGTGTTTAATTTCACTGATAAAACTAAAACTTTGTATTTAAGAAAACAATTATTTGCTTCTTTAAGGTATCATCATCTGCACCCAACCTTTGTCATTGACATTGTTGTGAAAATAAAATATCTCAGAAACCGTTTTTCCAAATGTTACCATTACCAAGAAAAAATAAGGCTAATTATTTTACTACATAACTTATTATGACAGGTGAGCAACAGTCCCTTGGCACTTATTAGTATGACAGTACAGGACGTGAATTCCCAGTTTCCAAGTATTTTCATTTTTCAAATAATGAGCTTTGTCACCTGAAACACTAAACCATTCTGACATCCAATACAATATTGTCAGTAAAATGACTAAGTTTGACACATCCTTTAAATAATTTAAACATAGTGGTAGAAAAAAAATGCAAGTTGATTGATTACTTGCTAAAAAACATCCTGGGTGGTTCGACCTCATATAAGTAGCATTAAAATTTGGAATGATCCCTGTAGTGGAATTTATGAGACGATATTAAGACATCCTTACTGTGTGAACCTTCTATTAAAAGGTTGATCAAAGTTCTGCTTTTGCCAACTGTTGTGTGAGAGTACCCGTGTTTTGTGAGACATTTGTACAGGTGATTTACCCGTCTCCTCAGGTGAGCAATCACTCACCCACATCAGGGGGGGGGGGACAGAAGATGCTAACAACATAACTTACATTGAAATTACAATTGCCAAATCCTTTAGGGCTATTAAATACTTATCCAGCTGTTCTATTGAAATGTTTGACAATATGATCACCGTAAAAATTAGCAGTAGTAAATTATCCTGCTCTTAAATAATTTTTGGGACATTCATATCTGATAAAGATTTTATGGTTTAAATCTTCAGGACTCTAGTTGCTGATTTATACAGCCTCGATTAACTGTAAGTGGAAACAAGGAGTTATCCTGCATTAACCTCTCAATACCTGGGATGTTTATGTAAAGTCAGTGTGTGTTTTTTTCGGAGTGGATTAACTACATACTTCCGACAACCTGAGGCCACATGGGTCCGTGATCAAGCTGTGTGCCGATTTGATTAACCATACATTATTTTTCACACTTGATTTCTCAAAAACCTTTGTAAGTATAGAAGTGTTTGGAGCAGTTGTGAAGCTATTGAAGTTGTGGTCATGACTAGCAATGTTGACACAAGGCATTGAGGTGTGAAGGGACCCAAGCCTCAAGTCACTACCAGAGGGTTAGAAGTCAGGTATGTGTGAAATGGGGGGTAAGATTCTCTATAGCCTTTGTACTTGCCTCTACTCACCTCACAACTCCCAACACCTACTTTGATAGGTGTAGCTTGAACATACCTGCATAGTTGAATTTGCTGGTGAAGGAAATCTATTGCTCGGGAAAGCTTTGTTTTTAAGTGAAGAAAGCCTCGTTGGTTTAACGAGATTTTCCTTGTGTAGTTAAGCTGTGGCTACATTTGGTTTTGTTACTGTTGTGTGGTGCATTCATTAGACCTGTGTATACTATTCAAAAGAAGTTAAGGATCATCTGATTCTTTCATATTGTATAGTTCATGCCACTATAGATTAACTTTAGTAATATAAAAGAATCGTGTGTAACTTTTTTTGAGTTATATATAGAGCTCATGGCTCATGGCACATGTGTAGTCTCGGTGTATGGACACATACTAATCTATTATGGTGGATGTTATTCAATGATTATGCGACACGTGAAGATCCAGGGTAGACTAGGTCTTCAGCAACCCATACTTGCCGTAAAAGGCGACTCTGCTTGGGTGGTCAGGTTTGCTGAGTTGGTTGAGGCATGTCATCTTATCCCAATTGCGTGGATCGATGCTCATAATGTCAATCACTGGATTGTCTGGTCTAGACTCAATTATTTACAAACCGTCGTCATATAGCTGTAATATTGCTGAGTGCAGCATTAAACAACGAACAAGCATACAATGAGTTTGTGTTATACACTCATCAATATTCCAGCTATATGACAGTGACATGTAAATAATCATTTGATGGCCTTTTACGATCAGCACAGGTTGCTGGGGATCTATTTAAACCTGGAATCCCCTCAGGGGAACAGTATATAACTTTGTATAACTTCTTGTTACATATGCAATATGTTTAACATTGTTCTTTGTAAAGATATGGCCATGTATTACATAGCAACTGTAACTATGCATTAGACGCCAACTAGGGGGATGCTAGCTTGGACTGGGGGTTGAAAAACGGTCACCCAATACTTGGACAACCTATGATGGGAGAATTCCAAATAAAAAAGAAATATAAAGTTTTAAAAATCATATGCTGGACCAAAACAGTTAGGGATCATGAAATATTTTTTGTTCGTGCACGTAAATAAACTACCAAAAAAATATAACCAAATATATTCATGATCCTTTACTTTTTTTGTACAGTATAGTTAAGTAAATTTGTAAAACTGAAAAAAACAACAGTGAAAATGCAGTGGAATCATTAAGTTTCTAATATATTTTTTTAAAATCATATTGATTATTTGAAGTTTTTGCCCAAACAGTAGCACATTCATATGATGTTACCACATGAAAGGAAGATAGTTTCTTATTTAGTTTTCCTCCAGGCTATTCCAAATAAAGCCACATCCTGTATGTTTTACAGGAATCCCTTGTCTGTTCAATTCAATCTGAGCTTGTAATTGTTCAATTTAGTTTCACCGAAGAATTAGGGAAGTTCAAAATGATTAATTTCTAGACATCAAAACCATTCCTGGCAGACTAACACATCAAATGTTTCTGTGTAAAAACTAGAATGTACAGGAGGGATTGTTCACTGTTCAAATGTCACTATGGCGATGTGAATGATACAAGGGTGGAAGATTAACTATTCCTGTGAACCATAGGTTATGTTGATAACATCATGAAATAGCTTAAAAATTATCTCCCAACATTACTGAATCTATTTTATTTTGAAATAGTGTATAAAACTTAATCATATATTATAAATTATAATTAATTTTTATATAAGTTCTATACTGTTATACTGTTAAAATGTGAATAGGCTTCAATACCGTAAAATTATTTTTTATAACTGAAAAGAAATATATACTTTTAAAAGAAGTTAAAGAATATGGCTATTTCCATTACTTTACTTAATCTGACATGGCATAGATTAACTGTAGTAATATGATATAATCTGCATTACAGATTAACTATAGTAATAAGAAAGAATGATGTGTTTCTTAACCCTTGCTTGTCATAAGAGGCGACTAACAGGATCGGGTGATCAGGCTTGCTGACTTGGTTGATGGATGTCATCGATCCCAATTGCATGGATTGATGGTCATGGTGTCAATCACTGGATTGTCTGGTCTAGACTTGATTATTTACCGACCGCCGTTATATAGCTGGAATATAGTTGAGCGCAGCGTTAAACAAAAAAGAAACAAACAAACGTTTCTTAAGTTCTTTTGAGTAGTATATGTTTTAATTATATCTCGTCTAATGTACACGTTTAAAAAATACTTAATAGGTTGAAAGTTTGAAGTTAACTTCATGTTATAACAGAAAAAGCTGACAGTGTTGAAAATCTGTGTTCTCACATCATACACCTGATGTTGAATTGTCTCTAGTTAGAAGTTACAAAATATCTGGTCAAGATCAACTCTATATTTCCAACTTTAGTATTCCGTTTTAATGACGAGTAGGTGTGGAAAGACCTTATAATGAGTATAACACACATGGCCAGCCTGGGGGTAGTCCTGCCCTGCTATGTGTGAAAGCACTTATGAATGGGAGAAAACAAGGGGCAGCCTTTAGCACTATAATGTTAGACACAGCGCAGCACCCTCAAAGGGGGTTTTCCACTTAGAACAACCCACCTCCTACATTCAGCCTAGCCACATTTCCCACCTACCCCCCTTTCTCATAATGAGTCTGCCCCAGCTCCATAATGAACCTTATATTGAAAGACATTGTTGGCTGTTCCACAGTGCTCCTAGCAGGGAGAGAGGCTGAGAGGGGAGTATGCTTGCCTGCTGCCGCATGGAACGTCAGTTAACGGAGACACGGACGTCCTGCATTTGGTCTTAGATTGTGTGTGTATAAGAAGGGGACACCCTCCACATGAGGTGTGACAAAGCCAGGATTGTGTAGTTTACTAGACTTACAACATCATGGATTACACATGGACTGACATGGCTAGGAGAAAGACTGCTACATCCTTCTCTCCTCTGTCGTTACGGATGCTACTATTGCTATGGATTGTGTACACTGGATGCTACGGTGATGTTTTTGTCGCAGGTGAGTACTACAACCAGGGCCATGGTTTCTATAGAATCTTACAACCAGTGTTGGCCAGTCTTTGGCCTGTGTCTTGTGCCTTACTTTTCAGCCGTTTCTTTGATTCCTGTCAATATTCAGATGGATTTGACCAAGGATTATCCAGTCTTTGTTGTAGTGTGTGTGTGTGCCTCATATCGACAGGAGACAGCCGTTCCAAGCATGTGCCACCATGGATTTTACCGCTAAATGGATTATTATGTGAATATGTCGTTACAAAGGATTAATAAAAACTTCAAAGGATACATACATTCTCCTCATGGATAAGTATATAATGACATAGAATGACATATTTTTGTTAAATTTTATGGATGCACACCTTCTAATTTGCAAAATTATTTTATTTTTCTGTCTACAAATTATTCATACATTTAATATGATAAGTTTCTGATGTTTCACTGAGTCTCTAATATTCTTATGATAAAATATTTATACTTGAATATTGATCTGTTGAAAACTTATATAAATTCCTTATAATGAAGGTCCAGCATAAATTAACCCATATTCATTATAACACACACACAAAAAAAGATGAAATGTCATTTATGAATAAAGGTCATCATGCAGATACATGTAAATATTTATTTCAAATATTGGGGGTCGTTATAATTATTTATTTATCAGTTTGTATTTTGAAGTCGGTGTAACTGTATAAATTGTTCAGTTAGGCTCTGGTGTCATGTTTCACTTGTTTTAATGACTGAATATTTAATGAGATTCGGGGGTACTCATGTATGTTAATTCGGTACATAAATAAGTACAAGGGAGAATAATCCCAACATGCCAGGCTATAGGAAATACACAATGGAAGTGTCATATCCCCTACTCATAAGTCTACCTTGAATTACAAGTTACTTCAATTAGTAAAAAAATGTCCCCCGAACAAATATGCTTATTGAATGATTTTGAATCAAGAGGTGAATGCATGACAAGGTGTGTTCATTTCTTGGTCACCCCTGAAGCCGTATTCTCTCCGTTCTGAAGCACGCATTATTCTCCTCTTTTAGCTTCCCCTGGGTATTTGCTCGGCCCAGGCTCGGCAGACATGCACATGTCGACCCCCATAGTATTTTCTGCGGCCGTGTTTGAGTATTTCTGTTGTGCTTTCAATTCATTTCTGGATCTTTTTAACCTCCCCGTTGTACGTATTTACATTGGCACCTATGAGTGTTATAATATGCATACACAACACAGTATTTGATGTCTGTGCGATCTTATAGCAGGTTATTGAGATTTATAGTCATGCTTGTGTTGTCTTCCTTTGACACCAAACCCCCATCCCATTATAATTTATATGTTTTTTGACTTACAAATATGCAGATGTATAGCTCAAGGAACTATATTTCACATTTTGAAGAAAAAATTATGCCAATTGTTTTGATTGAAAATATTAAATCCACTATCATTTTGATATGATTTCAATTATCATGAACATATTTTGATGAACTGTAATGTTTTAGTAGTCAATTAAATTTTGCTTAAACCTTGAGCTTAAAAAAAGGTTTAATAAAATTGTTATTGATTGATTTTCTGGTGTGGAGGTATTACAATATTTGTGATGAATAATGGTCCGATCAGGCAAATAGAGGATGTATTGTCATTTGGAGATTGAAAAAGACACACTTGAGTGTTGTAGCTGAATTTCTATAAGAGATAATAGCAGGGGGCTGCTTCCGAGACGTGGAGACTCCATCGTACAAGTTTTTGGAATTATTGTATTAATCTTGTCGAGTTATTGTAAATCCTTCTGATGTAGGCTGAGGGAAATGTGTGTGTTGGTTCAAGCAGTGCTCGTATCTTCCTTCTTCTGTAGCAATACTGACACCATAGTTCTATTTTTCTCAGTCCACATAACTTTAACAGGAATCTATCAGGAGAAAATGGGCTCCAACCGCTTCTTTTTCCCCGTTCTATCATACAGAAATCTGTAGAAGCTAAAAAAAGGAGAAATGTAATTCTGCCACGTCAAGTCGTGGTATTACAAAATCCATTCAGATTTGCAAGTTTGAAGCTAACCAAAATTTGCTGAAATCCAGTTGACACACAACAGTGAGGTATTGAGTTGGCTTGAATATTTATGAATCGAGCAGAGTGGATGTGCACTGTTTAGAACAGGCCATGTGACTAAGCTGAACGGCTCAGTGCTATACAATATGCCAGTGTATGACAGATGTTCCGACTTCTCATAGTAATCCCCGCAGGAATTCTGGCCACTTTTATCAGAGTGAGCTCCGTCCTGATCCAATTATTTGTTTTTACTTTCACTGAACTCTCAGTTGTACTTCCATCTAAAACCATCCACATGGAAATTTGTTTTCAAATCCATCCAGTGAGAGATAATCCTGTCTTTCATCTCCGCTCTCCTCGCTTCTAGGAACCTCTAGGTATTCTTTACTCTGGTGGTAGAGATATAGAGATTATTATACGAGCATGTGTGTTATAATGTTTACAAAAAGAGTGTCAGAATTCTTGTATTTTCTGAGCGGAAACAAGGGTAAAACATGACATTTTACCTCAGTTTCGAAAAATCAGTATGACACACATGTGAGTGTAATAATTTCTTTAATACCCATTATTTTTAAATCCTTTTGAGCTCCCCTTTAGAAAAAAGCACTCATCACGACCGCTATCTTAGAAAATCTCAATTGTTGAAAGATCTTCAGCTATGATGTTGTTTCTTGTGTGACGTCATTCCGACCTTACATCACAATAAGATTCAAATGACATGAACAATACACTGGTATTGGCACAAGTGCACGTACGTTTTTTATGAACTTGGTTATTTCTAAGCCTATGAGTAATAATATAAATCCTGTTTTAGAGGAGGTCTTTCGTCTTCACTTCACCTCAGGACATCTCCAGATATGCTTTGCTCTGGGTATTAGTCTCTATCTTCCAGCTTATGTAGAGGAAATCCTTGGCAATGCTTGTTCATACCTACATCTAGTTGTGTTTGTGCATGGATTATTTATGGATACAGAGAGTTTTCTCAGAGCTTCTTTCACAGTTTCACGGCAGACATTGATTGAGCATGTTCAGCACAGATAAGCACAAACCTTCATTACAGTGGTGAAAGTGGACGATGCTTAGTCGCTGAAAATATATCATTTTGATAAAAGCAAACAACTCCATTTAATTTGAAAAGGAGCCCCAGTGAGATGGGAGATTCAGAAACAGTGTTTATCAAGTTAAATGTTTGTCCTCATGTAATGTTTGAAACTCACAGAGTGTAATTTAGAAGCAATTGCAATTGTATTCCTGTGAACATGAAAACGCCATCATATAGTTCCCCGTGAAGAGCAGTTGTGAAAGGATGTACAATATATTTGATTAACAATACCACCATTTGATGCAAACTACAGGCAGCAAGGGTTCGGCTGAAACCGAAATAATGCTACTGCCGCATGGGAAGTGCCGAGAAATTATTCAGAGGTGGCAATTATCACAGAGCTCGCACAAGTCTTAAAGAGAACTCTTCAATGCACTGTGCATGACAAAATTCATTTCAAAATATTTCCATGTCAACAATGCAGGTTATTTATAGGTATTCTTGAAGGAACTGAAGTGCATTTCCTGAGATTCATATCAAGTTCATATTGTCTTACATATTGACATGTTTACGTCGTCTGCTCGAGTACTTTCATAAGGTGTCCTGTTTTTCCTCTCATCCAGAGTATGTAGTTGTATAAAAAAGAGACATTTTCCTTGATCTGCCAACCAGGTAGGGGTAAATGAGCTTATCTGTGAAGGAATGGAACTTTTTAGTAGCCTAGCAAATGGGAAAAATTCATCCAGAGAGAAAACGAATCTGGAAAAAAAATGAAATGTAACATTTGACACGCGGTACTCTCGTATTCAGAGATTTAGTACCTTTTGTCAGATTGTTTCAGACATTGTTCATTGGAAAAAAAATCTTATTAGACAACATGTTCTTATTAGAGATTGGTAACAGTAACTTTTTTCCCTTCCAATGTGTGAAATCTGCATTTTAGATCGAGTGAGGGGGTAGACTAACGCTGTGTTCTTAATAATCCTGGATTGCAATTAGGAGAGGTAGTCGAGTGGCAATGTTATTTGCTGTGCTAATCAAGTTTGCCACAAATTGCTTCACTTGACAATTTAGGCATAAACAATTGGACGATACTAAACTCCCTCTGGAGAGTGCGAGGGAATTTTGCTCTTCAGCCGAACAGTGTGTGCATGATTTAAATTCCAGCTCCCCTAGAATATTTCACCCCCTACAGACTTTAATTTTCTAAAAGTTTGGAATGCATGAAATCTCATTTTGGTCCCTGTTCTAATCAGGAAACCCAATATTAGCACACATGTCATGTGCCCAAGTCAGTGGTACTGTTAGGATTTCTAAATTTCATTTCATCCCATATTATCTTTGCTTTTTTTAAAAATGACATTATGAAATTAATTTAGAGATCAATTTTAATTTGAAGCTAAAATTTGGAAGTGAAATGGAGGTTGAAATTGGATAGCTGACATTTTCGTATATGATTATTCATAATGAAAGGTCTGGCTCATTTTGATAAACAAAAAATATGCATATATCCCGAGCCCTAATAAATAACACATGAGTATGCTGATTGTAACGAGTGGAGGTCACAACACTTGTGACCCAATCCCTTGTTTAGTATTTGTTGGACTGTCAAAACTGAATCAATAAAATGAAATTACCACTTGATACGAGAAACAGCTGTTGTGCCTGAGGCAATGCCCTATCTGTATATTTCATTCATAAACCAAACAGGCATTTTCCTTCAGCAATGGTGTTCAAACAGCTCCGATCTGCTCACAATGAGCCTTTCAATAACATTCCATACTCATGCACACAAATGAACAGTTAAAAAACTCTTAAGTTCTTTGATCTTTAAAGATTCCAAAACCATTCTCTGGCCCTCGGCACCATGCAGGGATGATAAAAGCTTTGCCGTTAGTACACATAAAACACATGATGAGAAGAGAGAAAAGGTGAAAAAGCATTGGAGTGATCCTTTTGACTTGCATAGGTGGTAAGCCTGCAACAGTTTTGATAACTTTGTACGAAGTTGACATCATCTCTAGAGGTAAAGTCCCTGAGTGACTGTAGGTTTACACTGGATAGAGTCTATAGAAGCATGCTTTTGTATTTGATGTATGGCGCATCACTGTGCTTGTAAACATAGGACAAGCTCCGCACACTTCAAAGCTGGACAGCCTCGGAAAGTGCTGGACGTTCAATAACCTATCATGCAAATTTCATTCCCATAATCACCTGATTTTGATCAGCATCTGCTGGAGTAAGAAGAAAGGTGAAAACCTGCCCCGTCCAATCATCGATAGGCATTTTCTGATCTATAGGATTGTCAGCAGATACCGCCGCACCGCAAGGCATGCTGGTATTGATTCCCAATCGTATACATCACACGTTCCCGTAAAATTCATTTAGGAAAGTCTGGAGCGTATCTGTTTGGCTTCATTACTGACCCCTCATCCACCTTGTAAAGATTAAATTTCATTGGATATCGATTCTCTCTATGCAACCCTATACTAGGAACAGTTGAAAGTAAACCATTTTCGTAATTTTGATATTTTCTCTGGAAAAAAACACATGCAATCTGAGATGTATTCTTAATTTTTTGCTTTAAAATTTGATCCCTACGCTCACATCCACCGTTTTGAATTATCATCTAACATTTTTGCCGAGTCCAGAATAATCCAACAGACGTACAGGCCCAGGAAATTGCTAGGGAATTTCATCAACAGAGTTTAATTATTAAACAGAAACTAAATACATAGTTGATCATTTCGAACCTAGGTTGCTGCTATGCAAATCAATACTGAGGTTTGCCTGAGAGGTAAAACAAGAAATATTCTCGATATTTTATATTTCGTTGATAGTATCAAACCAGGCAAAGGTCGGCCATCATTGATTTCTCCCTGTATGTGGCATATTGAAGCAAGAATTCATTAATTCTTAACATGGTCGACTGTCTTTATTGAGGTTGAAAATATTGCATCGCGACGGGCTTCCTGTTCTTCAGAATTCCAATATATTGACTGTCATGGCAGCTTCAGCACACAGACCAGATCTGTTCGCAGCTCTCCGCCAAGTCGGCCTGCAGGGCTGATTTCCGTGCAGCCTATAGTCCACAGCTTCAGTGCCCAGCATTGACTTGTCCCCACCGCTCGCATGTGTAGTGCTCTTCTGACCTGCAATGGGAAATATTGCTTAGGAGGTGTTGCATGTATTTTCTGTAATAGTTCATCTAGAAGATAAAAACCATGAGACTACCTGTCTGTATTGCATTCCAGAAAATAATCTGATTTCTTTTATTCTTTCAAGGACGTATTTTGCGGAGTTACATTGAGTTTGTATCTTCCTTAATCACTGAAGGAGTATCCCCATGGTGAGAGAGTCTGTAAAAAATGAGATGGTGGCAGATCCCGAGCCTGTGCCTCCTCTGTCATGTTCCCCAGTAGCGTACACCTTATTATCAATCAAGGGGTTCTTTGATGTAAGTTTGTAGGTTAAATACAGTCTTGATGAGAACTTGGCTATCAAGGCCGTATAAGGCAATATTACTTTCGGCCTGCCATGGAGTGTGTGAATTACTGCTTCCATTTCGTCCAGGCTGATGGTTCGAAGTGAACGCTTCAGTGCAGTAGACAGTGCAACTCGCACATTGCATGTTGTGGCTAAATTAATCACAGCGCATTGATTAAGTGGAAAATGTGACTGCACCTAAGCGTGCATGGCTGCCTTTTGCATTAATCTATCAGCAGAACAATAAATTGTATCATTATTATCATAACTGCATCCTCCCAATATTTTTGTCCTATATCTCTCATTATTCAGCTGAAAAAAATCAGAACTGTTTGGACTTGCATTTTACAGTTTGACAATTTGGTGCAGTGTCGAAATGGTTGGGGACAGATTTGGTGGATGCCTACGACTGATAAGTAACTAAGTATTTGTGGCAATGATTAGCAATGGTTAGTTTGGCTGCCTGTCCACACGAGACAGATGGCAAATTCCTTTCCCTCATAATGTTTAATCGGTCAGAAGGCATGCATCTTTAATGATAGCATTTGTCTCTTCATAGCTCTTCTTCCACTCGACAGACCCCCCTGTAGACCAACAAAATGTTTAATGGGAAGGACATTGCCAACTAGAAAACTGGAAATGTAATCTTTTGTTCAAAAGGAAAATTTGAATCACAATCAAATCTGGATTAAAGTTGAACAGAGCCTCACTGTTTCATCGCAGGAATTCCATGCTGGCGATAGTGGAGATATGATTTGGTGAAATGATGATAGTGGAGATAGGAAGCAGATAGACTGATCCATAGACAAGATAGTGTTGATTGATTTAGATGTAATATTTGATAACAATCTATCAATTACCATCTTAATTTAGCTGACTGGATGTGAAACAATATATTTAGTATGCCTTGGTATTTTGTGATTACACATTTTTGTAAATGTTTCTATATTAGAATGGAGGCACAATTACTTAATGTTTAAAATGTGTGGTTCTGATTAGCGTTTCTAGAAATTCTCTCAATTAATTTATTCCAGCTGTGATCGTACATGGAAGAGACTACACTTTCTTTTGATATGCACGCTTCCTATGTGGATTCTCCCCAGGGAGTTCAGAAACCTGAATCTGATCTCCTGGGGGAGGGGTTGGGGGGGGAGCTGGGTTGCACACTTAGCTGATAAGTATGATGGGTAATTATGTAGTCATGTCAGGTGACCTACTGAGAAGATGTCCTTTTCATTAAGTTATTATGCCAGAGTCGACATTTGATATGCGTTATGTCAAGGAGGATGTGAAATTAGTGATGGCACTTGTTGGAGCAATCAGAGATAAAGCGGCCACCTACTGGTCTATAGGGTGGTCTGGGATGAACCAGCACAGGAACCACTGGAACAGGATTAAGGTAGTGGAGGCAGAAAGATAGCCCATGGTCAGAATGCCAACTGCCATATTTTGCGATAACTTATCTGTAAATTCTCCCCTCGAGAAGACCCCCATCATTTGTGAAATAGTTTATTGTGGATGATGTTACTGGTGGCTGGGTGTTGCATGTTATGAAGGCATTATGGTCTCAGAAACATTTGTCTTCCTACATAATATTTGACAGCATAATCGATAATAAATAGTGCGAGGCTAGAACACTGCTAAATTTTACGTCTGTGTTTTCATAATATGCTGTGGTGTGCAGTTTGAAGGATGGATTGGACGCTTCAGGTTAAACTTACTTATTTTACTTCAATTCTTTTTAGGCATTTTTCTATGATTCATACATTTGGTTCTATATTTAAAAAATAAATAACTATATAATTTCCATAGTTCCATAAATACACTCACATAATGCCGTGTTCCTGTTCTTCAACGTGATTGTGCTACTGAATATTTTATCATGATGACACAATGGTGAATTTGTCGAACGGTATTGATACGATTCTACATTTATGGAACATGAAGTGGGGGCCGGCCCCCGGCTTAGACACGAGCCTCCTTAAATCCCCCCATTTTTACAAAACACTTCTCGGGTTATTGAGGCTGACGCACTGGTCAAATGATCCTGTCATTGTTGACTAACCATTCAAGGTCTTTGTGGTGGAAAGCGATCATATTTTTACTTGTCTGGAATAAAATAAAACCTTGTCCATGGTTGAAAGGAACTGAAATTGTGTATAAAATAACAAAATGGATCACTTTTATGGTGATATTCTCCTAGCAACTGATCAAAAGAACTCCCCATGTGTGAGAATTGGCTCACACTACAATACCTGCTAAAACTGTTTCAAGGGGATCCTGTATCGCCTTGGTTTCACCATACACTATGCTCTGTTTTTCTTTGTCGATTAGGAAGGACGAAATTCTTGCCCGATTCTAATGATCACTCCAGTCGCGTCTTTAACAAAGAGATTCTGGGTCTAACTGATTAACTCGGTTCCTTTGTTGTCTGTTAGCCGGATAGCAGTCCATGTAGCCGTGAAAAGACTGTTCTAGGATAAACGGTGTTTGGAGATATTCCGTGATAAATCATCCCTAGCCCTTTTTGATCAGACTCTTTTTGAATAATTATTCCAGAGGGTTAAATTTTATGAAACAGTTTTTGCTCAAACAATGACAGGTGTGCAGTTAAAAGGATTAATGCTGTGAGTTATTATTCAGATGCAAATTTTCAAAATGGATTAAAATTTGGATCGATGCCATTGTGTTTCCGTGAATCATGGCATTATAGTCTGTTACTTTAGAATACTTTTAATTCTGTAATTGTATGCTAAATTTTGATTATGACTGAAATATATGTTATGCATAAAGATGGCTATGATTAAGACTATGTAGAGTTGCTGGATAGCTGTAATTTGGCTGTGAAGAGGGAAATCCTATTGGTGTCTGCTTCTTGCTATTGTTGTGACTGTTAATTGTTATGGATGATACTTGCTAAACGAGGAGACATACTCTCCATGAAGCGCTACATTGGATATGTTCTAAACCTATGCCATCTAATCATCGAAACTGGAGATGCGTATTATCAAAGACCGAGCAGTGATGCTGTTATCAGCTCATCTGTTCCGTCAAATACCTATCTCTGTGTATCTGTAAGTCGTGACATTGCGTATTATCGCTGACATGGCAGCCAGAAAATCCAAGTTCCCATTGTCAGCCATCTTGGAATGATCAATGAGGGATCTACGCACTCACTTTTCTTGCCATCATCATTTTTCACAGGAGTTCCTCCCTCCTTTGGAAGTCGTCCATTATTGAATTTCCTGTCACGCTCCTCCTTCTCCCCAGGTTCCCCATCCTGCGGAAGTAGGTACCCCCTCCCACCCAACTCTCCACAGTGCGGCATCAACAGCTCACTCCCCCTCCCAACTCGTCACAGACCTGCATCAACCACCAAAAGCTCCCTCCCATCACCTCCCCCATCACCTTGGCGCAAGCTTAATGCTTTAACTTCAGATTGATTCTTGACACATCCAGTCATCATTATCAAATTTCCCACAAAAACTATATCCACCCTAAGCTTCCCTTGTTGAGCCACTTGCAGGGGTTTAGAGACTGGTGCCACACACCTCCTGGAGTGTCGTCAGTCCTGCTACTGATGATAAATGGGGTCATCCAACTCCAGTTTGTGGTTGCAGGTCGTGACAGGTGACACTTCCAGACAAACCATCGCAGAATATATTGGCACGATTGAAATATAATATCAACATGATAAAATACAAACATAATTAGGACAAGACCACTGCAACTATTATTTCACTTTAGGCAGTCTTTGGAGCCCTGTTGTGCAAGATAGTATTTGTAGGCCTAAAATGTACAAACATATTTCTATTAAGATTTATGTATATATTATTTTTAGTTTAATACATGTAGTACATTTATTTGTAAGTTATACATCATTTTGATTTGTATGTCATATTGCCGTAATGTTTAAATATGTCGATAAGATAAGATAAGATAAGATACGATATATTTATTGCAAGAAACATTCCATTTTGAACAGAGGCAATTTTGTAGACATACATATAATCAATTGAAATAAACACACACACACACACACACACACACACACACACACACACACACACACACACACACACACACACACACACACACACACAATGTTGCTATTATATGTACCAAAATATTACTGTTATGTCTGTACCCTGTCCCAATTGGGCGGTTTGTAGGATTAATTGTGTTCCTTCCTCTTATTAGATGGTTTTGATGCTAATGTACAATGCTGTTGTGAATAATGAATGCTTTATGTTAATTCATAGTACCGAAAGTTATAAATGGATGCTAGTTATAAAGTCAATACTGCCCCATTATTGAGAGTAATTTATGCACTTTAGTACAGAACAGTGATAATTATAATGACATTACAGACTTGTATCCTCCAAGCATGACTCAAGAGTTAACATGATGATGTGAGAAAATATTTCCTGCTAAGGACGGTTAACAACTATCCATCATTCAAGGGAATAATTGGTAAATGGACAGTTTCCTTATAAATTGGTGATCGCTTCGCCTTGAGCTGTTAAGAACATATTCTGTTGCGTTTCAAGATGGCACTACCCTGAGGACTTGTCAGGGAGAATAAAAAAAACAATAATTAACAGTCTTCTAGTGTAACATGACCCAACTTGGTGCCAATTATTTTAGATCACTTTAATGTACTGTAATTGTCATAATGAGGCATTTCTGAAAACCATCAACTCAAATTTGTACCATAACACTAAACAGGGTGGCCTTTGTTGCTGATATTGTTCTCGGACATCACACAATGAAACCGACACATTGTCTTGGTAGTATTCCACACACAAAATTTTGATCACCCACCCAACTTCTGGATCAGACTTTTGGTAGACTTGCACAAGTCTCTAAGACAATAATTATTAGTTTAAATCATAAAATAAGTTGTCCCTATAAGAGACTGGAGTCCTCACTGTCCACATATCTAGACTTGCCTATCAGGAGGATAGAATTACTACACATCCATGGACTTTTCTTTCAGTACCGCCTTGGAGCAAGGCTAACATTTTGGTCACTTTAGAAATTATTGAACATGTGCCTTCCTTCATGGAGTGTTGTCGTGAAAAGTGTTTGCTCACCCTCGCTCCACACCTAAGACAGGGAATATAGATTCCCCATGTGTGAAGTCCATCCCCGTTGCAATATTGCGAAAATGTACAACATCACGGCTACTCTGTTGGGAGATTCTGAGGTGGGACTTGACAGTGGATGGTGACCCACCAGCAGTGACAAGCTGCCACTCAAACCACTGATGCCGCTGTCCCTACTTGATAATGATTGGCCAAATTGCTTATAGTTCCTGAGGAAGTGCCTCATTTTCGGTGACACATTTTGATTGGCTATTTCCTCTGTATCTTGTCCCATATACTGAGCTCGCGATACGTATGTCTGGTAATCCTGGTAAATCAAATAATGACAGTAATCTCCGCAACCTGACATTATCCGAATTCATGAAATATCATTCAGAAGGAACTATCCTCTTTCTATTTTCAGTTCAATATATGACCCCAAAAAAATATGAATTATAATTTGAAATAAAAATTCATGATCTGTGATAGCTTCAAGCTAAATGATTTTCCAAATGTCATCATCAGTTATAGAGGAAATCTTGTACATTTGATGAAGCAAATTACCAGAGCGAAGGTCAAGACATTTAATTATTTCTCTATCTAAATAAATGCCCCTAATCAAATAAGTTTGGAGTTTCGTTTGAAGGCATAGAAAATCTCTATTTGTCTACATAGTCACATGTTATTTTGTTCTCAAAAATCAAAAGAAAGTATTTCAGGAAATGTGGTTTTTTTCCGAAATCCCCTGTCCTGATGGTTAATTAAGCAATCACAAAGGTCATTGTAGCAGCTGAAGGATAGAGATCTTACATGGAGGCAGAGACAAAATTTTAGCAGTTAATGGCTCTAAGACAGGAGATTTAGACAAAACGTCAAAATCAATAATTGTGGGGTTTGATGGTAGCCTCTGGCCAAAGTCTTATTATGCAAAGACGAGGGCCTGTCAATGACACCAGGCCTGCACAATGACTGCAAGGAACAAGACGTCAGTGTCTGGTGGAAGGAGAAATCGGTGAGAAAATAGGCAGATTGGACCCCTAAAGGGGTTGTGATAAATCACTCGCAATTGTAATTTAGTTTCAAATCAATTGCAAACACTCATTGTTTTTAGTCTTTGATCAAAGCTGAACTTTTGAAATTAATGTTTAAACTGTTTTTTTATATATATACAAATTTGGAGTTCTTATTTCATGAGTTATTCCAGATTTTGAGGTATTTTGTATGACATATGTATCAGAATATTTCAAATCCATCATATACTTCATGGTTTTGACGTCACTAAAAATAACAGAAAACAATGCTAGAAAATAATACATTTAGAAGAAGATTTTGGCATCCTAGACCCATATAAAATGAGTAAAATCATATACTCAAGTTCATTGTCACGATGTGGAATTAATTTATCCGACACATATTTCCCAAAGAGCAATATAACCTGGATATGGTTCAATACATGTGTGGCTCGGTGTCCCTTTATTTGGCGGAGACAAATGAATATCGCTTACTACACATTTTCTTTGTGATGGCAGAAATCATTTCCGTTATCCAATATGCCCCACATGCTGAGCTATTTTCATATCCAGTTCACTTTATTCAATAATTCAACAATTATTGATTTTGTTAATTGAATGACACAGATACATGCATTATTGAACACATGTTTCTTGTGAACCACTCTTACCCCTAGACATGCAGGAATCGGGAGTGTAAAACCTGATCTATCTTTTACACCTTATTCACGAAGGAAACAAACAGAGTGTCAGTTTTGGAAGATGTAATTAGCAGCTGTTAATAGTGTTACTAAATTATGCATATAATCCAGTAGTTGTGGTAACTGTAATGTCAGCTTGTATATAGCACAAGATCTTCATCAATAAGATCAATATTTAGAAATGCTGGATGTAAAAACTGATAATTTCCTATTAGTATTGGTGAGATACTTGGTTTCAATTCTTTTCTTGTGGTGAAGAATTTCATGATCAGCAAATGAAGGCATTTATTCTAAGCTGTAGTTTGTTATCATAATCAGTTATGGATTGGCACATTACTCCTTTGGCTGGCTGGAAACCAAAGGGTTTGTTTGAAAATCGAAACTCAATTTTGTGTCCTTTAAGCCGTCAATACCTGTGTTAGTGATCTCGTCACTACCAAGCGACCACAGGCAGGTTGTGAGTCATCCGTTAGGACTTGTCATTCTATTAAGGTAGGGTCCACAATGATTAATACTGTCACAGGCCTTCAGTCTCTGTATGCAAATTATCTACAACGCTTTCGAAGCGGCTGTGCAGACAATCGTGAAATGTTCTCGAGCCAAGCGCTGGACCACTGATCCATGAACTGATGATGAGACGGATGCCAACCCCTGCCGTAAACTACAAGCAGGAGTGTTTACGTTGCCTGTAGAATTCATCACACCAATCATGTGCATGTTTCCAAAATATAATTTTGAATGAAGTTATGGTGACCATGCCGTCGTCCATTGTGAAATGGTCTGCTGAAGTCTTTGAAGTGTAATAGGGGCCGTGAGACATGATTAGATCATCCACATCCTCCACCATTTGGCAACTTCTGATGACCTTTTAAAATCTTTTTGTTTGAACATTATTCAATATTTGTTGTTCACTGACATTCATCAAAGTGTAAACATTTTCTCAATTAACGATTTATTAACTCCTTAAACAAGATAGGAACTTAATTGTCTTTTGATGGTGTCGATGATGAAGCTAAGAAGCATAATGAAGCCAGCTTTTAAGGAAAACCGATAAGATGCATATTTTTTTTGTATTTAATAAATATTCATAAGAACACTGCACTAGTGCACTGGTAAAGAAATTAAAGCTATCACTTGATATTTATTAATGATTAAGGATAAGAAAGTGATAAAAATACTTGAAAAAAATCATGTCGAAAACAGCTGTTCGAGAGAAACTGAAATATGTTTTTGCACTTGTTAGTATCGAGACAAAAAACTAAAACGTTAAAAAGGCCATATTTAGATTTGGGCCACCCCCTAGTGGTTGAGTCACCCACAAACAGCTGCAAAGAGAAGCACTGATATTGACTTATGCACTCCCTTGGGTATATGAACTGAAAGAATTGGGCAGCTAACGAATTGGTCGAGAGTGCTTCCTCAATAGACAGATGACTGTGTGTTTTAGGGACCCCTAGAGGGGAACCTGCTTGTGTAGGAATTGTTATTATTGTTGTACAGGTTGTCTCTGGACTTGTGATCCTGCAACTGTTGTATAA